ACGATAAATTTCACGTTAACCAAAACTTTTCAATAGAATCGCTTGGAACATTTGAAAATTTTAACGAAAAGAGCTGTTATCAAAATTCATTTTTTTCGGTTTTATCCGAAATGTAATGCTGACATTAATGTTAAAGTGGTTAACAGATAATGTTAAGCGTTAAAATTGAACTGTGCTGTTAATAACATATCAGGCTGCCAGTTTAAATTGATGCTAACGTTGAGTTTGTGCGGTATCAACAATTTCTTTTCGTTTCGGTAACACGACGCCGAACGGAACCAAACTCATTTCGTTGAGTTTATTTTTCATATTAACAAAACGAAATGGCGCCATATTTTTGGTTCAACAACTGAGTACCTGAGTATATAATATATACAGAATGGCGTGAAAATATTTTAAAAGCCAAACTCATTTTTGTAAAACATTATTCCAAACGAAAACTCCTTAAATAGTATTGAAGTACTTTTGCAATAACTTTATTAATATACTTTTTCTATGTAAAATAAAATTGATTACTTAAATAATAACAGAGAATTTAAAGACGGTTTTTTTTACCATTTTACAATAGGAAATATTTTTAGTACTTAAAATTTTAAATATTACATAAGATATAATATAAAGTACTTAAATTCATTAATCACAATTTTCATTATTAATTATATTTTTATATATTTTTATGGTTATTTATTTACAGTGATTAAATATACATGTGTATGTGTATTCGTAAGTGCTTTTATAATTCAGTTTACTTTGTTCTGTTCTTTCTAATTTTGTTTTTGTTTTAACTAAAATATGATTTATTTTACACAATTTCAATTAACACAAATTATAATAAATTATTGATTAACATTTTTCATTTATTTGTATATATTTTTTTTTTGTGTGTTTTCATACAATTCTTCACACGACAAATAACAATATTATTTTCTTTTTTTATTTATATACACACACATACATACATTCGAATTCGGAAACTGCTGTGTTGAAATATGAAATAATTGCAGTGCAATACATTTATTGAGTGTTCCACATGGGGGTTGGGTTTGACATCGGGTATGTGTTAATACATTTATATTCAACCTTTCAAATATATATATGTATGTAGCTTAACGAGTTTCAAGGTTTAGGCGGAAAAAGAAACAATTTATTTATAATTTGATTTGCGCATTATTGCCTATACTAATTTTTTTATTATTAAAAAAAAAAACAGGTTCACGAAGCGTAAATAAAATATATATAAATAAATCAATCTGGTTTTCCGCATCTTCATTTAAATTACACCTAATATACTTATGTACGTATGTACATATGTAAAGAAAAAAATTTAAAATAAATCCAGTTTGCTGCTGCTGTATTTTTGTGGAATTTTTTTCTTAAACAAAATTTTTTTTAAAAAGAAGAAAGAAATGTTAAACGCAAATTTTAGAATTAATTGTATTGATTTTTTTATTTTCGCTCTTTCTTTGTATATGCATATACAGATGCGTGCAACAAATAAACAACGATGCGTCCCTATAAATTATATAACTTTTTTTCCTGTAAAATTTTTTTAGTGTAAAAATGGAGTTTTATTTTGAATTCTCTGCTTTGAAAGTATGCCTAGATTTATAAATATAATTTCCACTTTATAACCGCTGAAGCGATTTTAGGCCGAGCTCCTTGTGCAATATGTTGTTTGCGTCTTGAAGTTTTTTTAAAGAAATGGAGAGGCCTGCAGTTTATTCTAAGCCGCCTCCGAACGACGGAGAGATTTTTATAAGGAGCTTTGCTTTCATTGCAGAAATACACTCGGAGTGATTGACATTCCCTGCCGAGGGCTGAACGCAATTTGAAAAATTAATTTTATATAGTTTTGTATTCATTACAAAGGCCCTAAATAGCTCCAAGAATAATACGATATAACAAGTTCCAAGAAAGAAGAAAGGCATTAAAACGATGCTACCGGAGGACGAGTTGATTATACGCGAGTCAAATCAAATTCGACTAACGGATTTTAAAGAAAATCCAAATGCAAAAGCTGTCGGATACCACAATAAGGCAATTACGCGACTCAGGACGTTTCAAGGAAGAAATCATTACTCTCCGAACGCAATCGAAGGAAACGGGTATTGTTTTCGCATGAAACCAGTATTATTTATCATTTTCACAAGGGAATACTAATGTCCGCGGAACAAGATAGACAGTTGGTGGTGTGGTATGCTTACTGGGTAGGGGTTCAAGAAACTCCCCTAGTAAGACATGCCTGCCGTAAGTGGCGACATGAGGGGTGTAATATGGTATAGACAAGTTTCTGGGTATGCTGTTACAGTTGCGAGGCTATAGTCAGTTCCTACTTTTGCGTTCACGTCGTGCACCCTGATAGCGTGAGCAACCCTTGTGCCTAGATGTGATAAACCACATGAGTGTAGCCTTGGGTCACGGCTTACTCGGTTTAAGGGTTCGCTGAAGTCTAACTGTAGCGTCTAACCACCAGATGTGCGGCTGCGAGCAGGCTCCTGTCTTCAAGTAAGCGGCTCACTATATAAAAGTGTAAACAACTTTAAACTTACTCGCCTTGCGAGGTTATACGCTGGACTTGGGACCTGCCATTGAAAATTATAATACACCTCGGATGAGATCCCATTTTTGATGACGACCCCCACATTCGAATTGCGAATACACTAGCCGAACTTTAAAGTGTGGTGGCGGGCGTATGTCAATCATGGACAACTTATTGTTACTATATGCTCGTGACGTGGATTTATCAGCAGGGTAAGGATCCGAAGCATGCTGAGCGTAGTAGAAAGTAATGATTTCACGAAAACATGGTGGCTCTATTAGACTGACTTTAATACGACCCGGATATGAAACGAATCGAAAATTTCCCGACACATTTGAAGAGAACAGTTCGATCCCATTCAGTTGGAGAATTTCCTGGAATTATATGAAAAGGTTAAACAATAATGGGATTATATTCCATCTGGGCATCTGTAAAAGTTTAGTGGATTTAATGCCTCGTAGATGTCAAGCCGTGATTGACACTACCATTTTTGAATTTGATGTTCTAAACTGACTTTATATACAGGGGTGGCACACTAATTAGCCCACCTTACCATAGTCCAATAATGCTGCTTGAAAATTGAACATAACGGTATTTTAAGAAATTTTTGTTCTGGATATTATTAAGTGGTTTTTTGAGTCGGTTTTAACTGGCTTTTTAATAACCACACTTCAGAAAAGTTTTTCGTCATTCTTTTGCGTTGCAGGAGGAAAACATTGCAGGCAGCACTGTTAGACAGTGGCTTCTGGCAAACAACTTTCGAAAATGGCAAAATTAAAAAAGGCGAAAAATTTATTTCAAACACTAATAGAAAGATGCGTTTGGAATCTACCACTGAGAGACTAAATAAGGACTCTCCTATTTCCTTTGCTTGCTTGAAAATCATCCTCTACCGTTTTTGGAAGACTTATCGTCATCTGTATACACCACCTCATTATTTCAACAGGACAATGTGCCCGACCACAAGTCGAGGTCTGTGATTCAGTGGCTCCGAATTATTATAATTTTTTAATCATTTTTTTGATTTGTTAACATTATTTAATTAATAAGTGTTATTGTATATGTACTTATTTTACAATTCCTTCTAGATATTTTAATTTTTTCTTTGATTTTCTGCTAATTGTAGTCTGCATGAGATGGTGTGCTAATTAGAGTCCCACACCTGTATATAAAAACAGAAGAAACAAAAAAAAATTTGCCTATTTTATCTTTGAGACGGATAGTTAGAATGTTTTTTTTTCAGAAATCAAAATATAAGGTTGTCAAATATCTCCCTTCCGCTTTTTTGTCTTTTGAATTTCGCGGCTATGTGCAAAGCGCTACAGAGCTCGTATCTGGCAACACTATACATAATTTGAAGGGTATTGACATAACCTACAAAACAACATGATTAGTTTGGATATTGCTTTTAACAGTTATAGACGTGTAAACATGGAGTTTACTAACGCCGAAATTCGCGCTATTTTAAATTTTTCCTTCGTTAAAGGCAAATCCGCTGGAGAAACGTTCCGTGAGATTAATGGTGTTTTGGGGGATGGTACTCTATCACTTCGAACCGCGGAGGAATGGTTTCGACGATTCAGAGCCGGTGAAAACGACACCATGGATAAGCCAGCCGGCGGAAGACCTGTGACGACAAATACCGATCAAATCATGGAATACATCGAGTTAGACCGGCATATGGCATCTCGTGACATCGCCCAGGAGATGGGAGTTAGTCACCAAACCATTTTGAACCATCTGCAGAAGGCTGGATACAAAAAAAAGTTTGATGTTTGGGTGCCGCATAATTTGACGCAAAAAAACCTTCTGGACCGAATCAACGCCTGCGATATGCTGCTGAAACGGAACGAACTCGACCCATTCTTGAAGCGGATGGTGACTGGCGACGAAAAATGGATCACATACGACAATATCAAGCGAAAACGGTCGTGGTCGAAGGCCGGTGAATCGTCCCAAACAGTGGCCAAGCCGGGATTGACGGCCAGGAAGGTTTTGCTGTGTGTTTGGTGGGATTGGAAGGGAATCATCCACTATGAGCTGCTCCCATATGGCCAGACGCTTAATTCTACCATCTACTGCGAACAACTGGACCGCTTGAAGCAGGCGATCGACCAGAAGCGTCCAGAATTGGCCAACAGGAAGGGTGTAGTGTTCCACCAGGACAACGCCAGACCACACACTTCGTTGATGACTCGTCAGAAGCTACGGGAGCTCGGATGGGAGGTTTTATCGCATCCACCATATAGCCCGGACGTAGCGCCAAGTGATTACCACCTGTTCCTGTCCATGGCGAATGCCCTTGGTGGTGTGAAGTTGAACTCAAAAGAGGCTTGTGAAAAGTGGCTGTCCGAATTCTTCGCAAATAAGGAGGGGGGCTTCTACGAGGAAGGTATTATGAAGTTGCCGTCTAGATGGAAACAGATCATCGAACAAAACGGCGCATATTTTAACTAAATCCGATCACTGTAACACTTTTTATAAAGCATTGAATGAAGAGCAAAAAAGCGGAAGGGAGATATTTGACAACCTTATATCAACCAATTGGAATTCTCTTATTAACGTTTTTAGTTAGTTGCACGCATCTGTATGTATACACATATATATAATATAGTGGGCGCTTTATAAACGCTGACGTGATTATCGGCTTTCATTGCACAAACCGTTCAATAATAAATGAATGAGCGTAAAATCATTCATTCAAGTTTTTCGTGAGAAATACAAATACATGCAGAGGATGGGTATTGGCTGATATTACATACATACATTTATATATTACATATGCAGTTCGAAAATTCGAAATTCACACAGAGATTTTTTATTTTTATTTTTATTTACTTTTTCTTCACACCTGAATGTGGCGCGCGCATATGTATTGTATGTATGTATAAGTTATAAACGTCAGATTACTGTTCAATATGCTTAGAGGAAGTCTACAATTTCTCCGTGGTAACTTCAACTACAAATTCGCAAAACATTTCAGCTACAAATTTCATTTAGAAAATTCTATAACAAGTTGCATATACCTACATACGTATAATACATACTTATTTACTTTCTTTCCTGTACTACTTCTTTTCTTTGCTAGCGCATTAGCTAGCGTCTCTTCGACTTATGTATTGTATTATGTATTTTTTGTATAATCAAGTGCTCAGCACCTGTCCTTTGCACTTAAAACTAATTCGTCTCTATCCGCACTGCACGTCCGTCTCTTTAATACTCCACCCCTTAACGCTCTCCTCCCTCCCAGGAACTTAACTTCAGTATGACTTCAGCGTCGTACCATTTTACGCACGCTCCGGACATTTAGTTTGCACAATTACCGGTTTCGATCCGCCAGCTATTGTCGGTGCAGCGGTAGCACCCTCCGGCAACATAGCCGTATGCACTATGATTCCCGGTTGATCTTCACTCTGTGGATGCAACTCATGCGATTCGCCTGGCGTTAGACTTGCCAATGCTGCTAGCAAATCATGATTCACCAACGGCTCATTCTCCTCGCGTGGCTCCCAGCCGGCTGGCGGCGAAGCTGGTGGTGAGATTAGGAATTGTTTTACCGGCGCTGGCGGTTGTAAGTTTTTATTCGAGACTGGTGTTACCGGTTGGGCAAAGTAACAGGTTATGATGGTTTTCCTATTAAATTCGTATTGATGCAATTTGATACGTGCATTGGCCGCTGCTATTGCATTGTCATAGTTAACGCGCAAGCGTCGGAAGCTACGTAACCATTGGAAGGTTGCCGAATCGCAGAAAGAACGGAAAAGTTCTTCCATTTCCTGTTTCAGCGCTGGTTTGGTAAACACTTCAGAGTGTATATTTGTCACAATGATGGATGTGGGTAAGTCATCGAAGGAATCAGGATCGACGGCTTCCTTGTCACTTTCGCTATCCACCTCACCGTCTGGTAATGTGGGATGTTGGCTGGGTAGGCCATCGGCTGGATTTATGAATATATCTTGATCTGGTGAGAGTTTATCGATGCTGCCGCCACCGCTATTTTGTGCTGATTTCAGTTTGGAATTGTTATTGTGATTTTTTTCACCACTGCCACTGCTACCACTCCCAGTGCCGTTATGATTACGTGACGTCGCCTCCTCCGATTCGGATGGTGGTGTGTTGGCGCGCGACGCCGACATCTTTGAAGCGCTTTTGTTGGTGTGCTTGTTGTTGGTATGCCTTAATGTAATGCGCACAAGTGATGAGCGGAAGCGTTCAGTCTACGCACAAAGATGTTTCAGATAACTGAAAGAGTTAAAAAAAAGTATTTTTTAGTATGCGGAAAATATTTATGTGCATGTAAATATTTTTATAAATATTTAGTATATAGGCATAGGTATATATATATTTTTTAACGTGTTATATTACGTGACTGACGCTCCGAGTATATGGTTTTTCATGTAGGAATCATTCGAAGCTGTTGAACGTGTCGTGTTCTCAACAATCAACGACGATGAAAGAAGTCGGCCGGGATTACGAGGTGCCAGCTTTCAGTATTTCTTAAGGAGACCATTTAGGCTAGCAGCTTAATAGTATATGGCGACATCGTCCATTGAAACCAAATGAAATTTATTAAACCACGACTATGCTTACAGGACCGTATCCCTTTTATGAAATTTCTCATAATAGATTTACGAATTCCATCTTTGAGGTTCGACGTTCGCTTTTTTGCATAGGCCTTATCTTTTACGTGACCCCAAAGGAAGAAGTCACAAGATGTTACATCACAATATCTCGTTGGCCAAATTGGGATCTCCTCTTCGAGAGATAACACGTTCCGGAAGAGTTTTCCCTTGAAAGATCAATGAACAAAGCGCCATCTTGTTGATCAATACCATTCAATTCCGTCCATAAAAAATCATTAATCATCTGTAACTGTTGCTCCAAGCTCGTTTTCGAAAAAGTAAGGTTCAATGACCCGCACCAAAAAGTTAAACATTGAGAATGGAGAGGCTTTTAAACAATAAATTTCGGTTTTCTGAGCCTCAGATGCGTCAATTTTGCTTATTGAATTGTGTGGATCGATGTGGAAATGGGCCTCATAAGTCAAGATGATTTATAGATTTTTGGGTCATTTTCATGCATTTTTAGGAATCAATTAGTAAAGAAGCGACGTTGTTGCTGATTAGCCGGCTTGTACTCCTGCTTTTATTCAACTTTGTAAGCGTTAAGACCCAAGTTTTTATGCGAAATGCGGTGTAATAACGTTTGTAGAATGCCCAATTCCAAAGAACGTCGAAGAATGACGTGCACGTGGCTTATTCCTTACACAACTAAATTGTCTCAAGAGCTTCTTTTACCCCTATTTTTGTATTGCGGTCCGACAAGGTTTCGACGAACCGTCCCTGCCAAGTTTTCACCATTTTTATAGTGAATTTGAATAATTTCAATGCGTTGATGGAGAGTGTTCCGTGCCATTTTTATTACTGGCGTAGTTTTTACTTGGTAAATGTCAAGAAATTACAGTTTCAGACTATTCAAGATAAATCCGCACCGCCGCTGTTCAATAAGAGCGGGCATACAGTAATAAGTGCTTGTTTGGCATATCTACCATAAATTTAACAGTATGCCTCCACTGTATGTACAAAATGGCAAAGGAGTCTCTTAAAAAACCACAGATCACCGCGCACTTGAGCTAAATTGAAGTCAACATCTACATGCTTCCTGCACAACCATATTCCTTAGGTTTGATATCAGACGATAAGTCCACCTTCCCTTCGTACCATTATTTCATCTCAGCTGCCTTTTTAGATAGTTGCCTTTCAGTGCTTTTTGCATTGCTGTTTCTTTCTTTTCGTGTCAGTCTCGCTAACTCAGTTTTTTCACGCGTTGCGATATTGAGAAGGAATAGCACGGCAATGACCAAGACCGCTTGCTGATACCAAGCGATGAAAGAATCCTGTGCCAAATCGTGGCACCATAAAAAGTAACAGTTCTCACATTTGCTAGGATAGGAGTTGCAGATGGTTCTACGAAAGCTTAGGCGTTGGTCAATGATAACTGTTAGTTATTGCACGCCTGGTTTTGAAACATAAAAACTGGGACCAACTTTCTTTCGCTTTTTCCCCACTTTTTTCAGGCCGCGAATTAAAAATAACGGTTTCAGCCTTATGAACTGCTAATTTTATGGATTCTTTCTATTCTATTAAGCTTGCGGTTGCTAGCCCAGCTAGTTGGACTATAGCAGGTGTTTAGCACAATGGTTACTTCCTTGAGGAGAGCAGCACTGTAGCACTTCATCGTTCATAATATTCATTGTTCGCTCACTGGTTCCAGTACCTATCCCGAACCAGCCCCCCCTGTGGGTTAGGGGCTCAAGAATTTACCCGCGGTAAGGCATGCCTGTCGCAAGAGGCAACTAAAATCCAATAGTTCCCGCGGCAGTCGGGTCTTTATACCGGAACGACCCGGATTTTTATCCGGCCAAGGACTATTACTCCCGTAACATTCCCCAAAAAGTGATTTGGGGAATAATTTTGTGGTTACAACAACAACATCAACAACAACAACCAGCCCGACAGTAATTGTATTGCTTTTCTGGTGCTATATTGGCAAGATAAATTATTATGCTGGTACGGCGGCAAAAAAGTCTGCATATAATAAAAGTCATGCACATATCCATCCTGTGCCTCTTAACCGGAAATGTCACCAGTCAACACGCTTACATACATATTTGCTCTTTAACTGGGTTCAGACATCACTTCCTGCTATCGTCAGTTCCGGGCTGCAATAACAAAATTTGCCGACTACATTTGCTTTGCTAAAAACAGACTTGTACGAGAGTGGCTACTTAAGTGTTGAAATCGACAAATGAGGCGTTCTATAAAATTCGGAAACTATTAAAAAAGTCTTTTGTTGTATGCTTCTATGCTTAGGTGTAGAAATTAGCTTTGCTGATATTCGCTATTCACATTTTTCGAAACTTATATCAGACACTGTTGATTTACGATTCAGAAAAGTGAAGAAATTTTTCTAAAAAATATTTAATCAAATTTATTTCGAAGTCTTTCACGATCGAGCAGGTTTTGTTGAAAGTTTGGTAAAGTTTTTTCTTTTGCTGAATGTAAAAAGTCTCTACGGTTTCATGTACTAGATGGTGTTCATATTCTTACTTCGGGCAAAACTAATCTGACTGTGTTAAACTTGAAAATTAGAAATTCCTTTTTACTATAAAAGAGTAAAAGCGCTGCAAAAGCGTTTGGAAAAACCTGTGTGATTTACGCTGCGCCCTGAGTGGGTTGCTCGATCTGGAAATTTTGATGTTGTGGTCGGTCAGTCACTAAAGAAAACCGATGAAATTTTGCAACTAGTGGAGCAAGACCAGTATGTAAGGTGCCAAAAAATAAAGGAGACCTTAAGTAAGTCTCACGTGACAGCTTGGGAATCATTTAAAATAGCCTGGCTACTCGAGTAAGCTTCTAAAACGCCACAAAATCAAACCAAGTATGAGGCACATAGGCAATGAAAATGGGTTAAATACGAGTATATAAAACGAGTCAAATCATGTTCAAATGCCGGTAAGAGACTTTAAATCCTGAATTAATGGCAAACAAGGTCATGCTGGGTGTATGTGGTGCGATTGGAAGGAATTGTCCAATTTGAGTTGCTACAACGCGGCGAAACGATCAATCTTAGTCTCTACTGTTAACAGCAAACCAGATAAGGAGTTCTTCAAAAAAAAAGCGTTCAAAATTGATCGATGGAAATATTTGTTGTGTTTCATTACGACAACGTCAGACCACATATATCTTTTGAGACCAGACAAAAACTGACAGAGCTTGGTTGGAGGTTTTGAACTTTGCATAATCTGACTACCATTTGTTTGGATCACAGATGCTCGCTTAATGGTAAAAGATTTGGTCGACCGAAGAGACGATGAAAATGAAGTCCTTCGAGAATAATCTACAGAAGTTCTCCACTAATTAAATTATGAAGCTACACAAAAAATGCCAAAATGTCATAGTTCATTATGGTCGGGTCAAAATTAATTTTCAATAAAGAAAAATTGTATACAAAAAATTTGTGAAAACAGCATTCATTTTTTCACTTTCAACTCTAGACATTCACATATTCACCACACTGTGCAGCATCCCTCCTTTACTGATTTACACTAACAAATTGCCACCGTTAGTTTTGAAAAAAAAATTCTTCTTTCTATTTTTGGCCGTTCAATCAGCTTGTTTGCGCAGGCCGCTTGCCTAGCAGCAACCTAATGGAAAGGATTGTTTCAAAGGAAGTTTGCACTTTCCACCACACTCCCAACTGCAAGCTACAGGCACTAAAAAGCAGGTAAGCAAATCAATGAGTATTTCCGGTAGTGTCGTTCAATTTCCACAAAATATTGCATACATACTTTATTCCATGTATGAGTATACATATACAAGCTTATGTAGTTTATAAGTGCTTGTAAGGACATTTGAGCTTTTTCTGTTGCTCGGAATATTAAATTTTTTTTATAATATTTCACCGTTTAATGAAGTTTGATGTCAGACCTGCACCGACTACACTTTGTCCAGAGCATAAACATGCTGCTTGAGTGGGAACTAAGGGGAACACATTTGTATAGCGAGTCACAAACCGACGGCCATTCGTTGCAGTAAGACTTCAGTGAGCACTTAAATTGCAAATATTGAAATGGCTCCACTTAAGTTCCCTCTGTTCCCTAATTCAAGGCTTTACACATATGTATATCGCACAAAGGGTATCCAGCGTGTACGACCACGATGCAAAAGTAGAAAATGGGCATAGCCTTGCAACTGCAACTACATACTAAGGGTTCTTTTTCTCCTTTTTCACCTTATTAGGCAGAGAGTATCTAGTGTGAATAGTACCTACACCAAAAAAAAAAGTAGAATGATCCCGGAAAATTCTCATATCCAATTTATTGACAGATTTATCTACAGATTGCTCATCATTCGGAAGCGTGGACGGTGACAATATCAGCTGAGTAGGCTTGTGGGTCTTCGAGAGAAATGTTTTGCGGAGGATTTTAGGTACTCTAAATTGGCGAGGCTGTGGCCACGTTAGCTAGGGCATGCGGTCCGGATGGACGAAAACCCGCCAGCATGGAAAGTATTCAATGTAGTACCCGGTGACGAAAGAAGAGCAAGAGGAACACTGCTGTCTTTCCTTGGCGTCGACTGGTAATAGAATACCCTAGTACCACGCAAGCATGAAGAAAAATATACAGAAGAACTACTGAAGTAGAAGAAAAAATAGAAGATATATTGAATTATCTATAGCCG